AAAAAAAAAAAAAGGTAATAAATGTGAGAACACATTTATATACATGACTATACCTACATGCAATCATTCAAAAGTAATTTCAAAATATGCACATTATTCTGTGACTGAGAGTAAGCAATTCCTATTTCTGACTTGGATACCAAAATCTCATTACTTCAATACAAACCAATTTTCTAACCAATAGAGTAATAAGCTACCAAATATAAAACTATGGCATATAAAGATGGTTCCTTTAACAGTCCACCATCTTTCTTTCCTCTTTCTTCTTTCCTCTTTTAAACTGTATTTTTTCAGGAAGCAATAAATGAACTTTTCTTATCTCTGTCTTTCTTTGAAGTAGGCTTCACTGACACTACGAAGATAAAAGACATTTTAAGTAATATAAAAGTATAATGTGACCTCTAGTGGACATATAACTCCACAACAGTGTAATTTCATTACAAGCTATGTGTCTTTATAGAATACAAAAAGAATGCTATAAACGGTCTTTGAAATTAACATCACTCAGACATTTATAGTGTTCCTTTTAAAGTAAACCCCTAAATAGTGAATACGTGATAAAATAACCATTTGCATTTTCTCAATGGGAAGCATAAAGGTTTAATAAATTATCATTAAAACATTTTAATTTCAGGATTGATATACGGAGAGGGGTGGGGAGCAAGTGACAAACAGATTATCCTAAAGATCTGATTATCTGCTTTAACAGCCTATCACTGCTCCTTATACAGAGTGAATATCCAACACATTTTTATTATTTATTAATTAATATATCAACTGTAATAACAATCAATTATCAACAGCAAAGCACCATTCTAGACTTGTCATGTATCATCTTTTTCAGTCTTCACAAAATCTGTGAAGAAGATACTATTATTATACTTCACTTCATAGGTAAGAAAATGGAAGTACAGAGAGTTTAAGTAACTACTCAGTTACACAACCAATAAGTAGTAGGGCCAGGATCTGAACCTAAGGAATCAGATTCCAGAACCATTCATGCTCTACATGTTGTATCTCATCCCTCAATATCATTACATGAAACCTAACGCAAAACCTCAGTTTTTAAGATGATTTACCCAGTTTAACTGTCAAACTAGAACATAGTAAAGAACTGAAAATAAGGCAGAAATGGCTATTTAATAATCAAATAGACATTCAGAAGAGATTCAGATCCTAAATAAAGCTCCAAGAGGCCCTCAGACTTTCATTTGGTCCTGCTTATCTAATGGCATACCTAAGTCTAACAAGATATGTCATCCAAATTCTTAATTCTCTATTCGTAAAGTGGACAGGATTTAGTAGACAGCATACTGACAATAGGAGAAAATGACTGATGTTAGTCTACAAGTGGAAAGAGAAAGGCTACTAAAAAGCAAAGAAACCCAAGGACTCAAAAAGAATACACTGGTTAGAGGCCATTTAGGGTAGGACAAATGGCATAAATTACTTCAAAATATACTGAAGGCTTGCCCAAGTTTACTTACTTATTACTAGAGTCATCAAGTTTAAATTAAAACTTCAACTGAAAGTCAGACATTTCACATCTTAGAAAGCCATAAAAATAGTTAAATTGAGGAATTCCAATTTTTATAGAATAGTTATAGTCACCTAAATTCTAATCACAACACACATTCTTCAAAGAAATCAACAAATAGAGCAAACAAAACTACCCATATCTCATCCCATATCTAATGCAAAACTAGGAGATGGAGATTACAAAAAACTTTAACTTACATGTAAGAGAGATGAGAAATGCCAATTTCAGAAGATCAAGCCCCAGAACTTATGCTGGAGCAGAGAAAATCAGGTGGCAAACGACAGAAAAAGAGGAGAGAGGGAGTGGGAATCTAGGGGTGCTGAAGCACAAGTATCACTCCCAGAAAAATTAAGTCACACTTTTAGTGGGAAATACTAAAAACATATTTCAGATCCAACATTACAGAGGCCAAGCTAATAGAGAATCCAAAAGAGAAGCATAAAAATATGTGGAACCAGGTATAGCAAGTGCAGTAAAGGCACCACTTCTCAGAAAGAAGAAGGATACTTGGAAGAAAAAAATAAATCCAGTAGTATAGATTTTGGCTTCAAAATACCATTCCCCACTAAAAGAAACCAGAGCTCTTTTGAGAAATGTCATATTCCAGGTCTGAGGCACAAAAAGTATAATGTGGACCTAGGATATCTTCTTGTGCCAGAGGACAAAGAAATGCTCAAAAATTGATGGGTGCATGTCAGAAGGACAGAGAAACCAGTGCGAAAAAACTCTCACTGACCAAATTTAGAATGATTTGAGCACCAAAATAGTGATAATACTGGAATACAGGAAATTGAATCGCAAAATAATCCATGATTCCGTACCAATCCACATAAAGTAAAAAATTAGTTGGACAGGGTGGCATGTGCTTATAGTTCCAAATATTAATACTTAGGAGGCTGAGGTAGGAAGACTGCTTGAGCCCAGGAGGTCAAGGTTGCCGTGAGCCATGATCACGCCACTGCACTCCAGCCTGGGGGACAGGGTGAGACCCTGTCTCAAAAAAAGAAAAAAAAAAGATAATAAAAAAGATTCCATATGAATCATGGATTATTTTTTGATTTAATGTGCTGTACTCGAGTATTATCAGAGGGTAAGGTTGGGAGAGATGCTTTTCTTTATAAAAGAATGCCAGCTAAAGTAGAAAAAATGGTAGAACCAAAAAAATCACTATTTTTTAACTATCAATGTAAAAATTAAGTTAGGAAAGGATAAAAGGATGTTTATTTCCTAATAATAAAAAGGTTTGTTGGGAAAAAATACTCATGAAGTCTCAGTATCACTCCACAGATTACTGACAAAGGAAATGGCAGATGAACTGTGAAATCCGGCAGATACCACCTTATTATCAAGGTGATTACACTTACCACATCACCACAACAGGACAAACTGATAGATGTGCTTCCTAATGCGGTACTCTGAATAAACATCACCTACTTAATATTTTCACCAAAAATGTTTAATGTGAATCAAATTATGTGCAAACAATCAAACAAAAATTGTGGGACACTCTAGGAATAACTGGCCTGGACCCACAGAAGCACCGATGTCATTAAAGACAAAAGGCAAGAAAACCATTCTAGATTAAATGAAAAAAAATTTAA